ACAATGAAAAAAGTGTTGGTGATGGTGGGGATCCTGAACCACCAGAGCCACCAACGGCACCAACACCTTAGCAGCCTGAACAACCGGGTAACCGGGCGGGCTACCAGCTCAATGACTTGGTGGTGCGGCGGATGGTGCGGTTCGATGGTGGCTCAGTGGTGCAGTGCAGTGGTGCGTTGGTTGGCCAGAGCTGCAGACTTGCAAGAGTTTCAGGGAGTTTGGGGGCGCCATTGGCTGCTCGTGGCGCTGGCGCTGTTGTTGATTATGTTGTTGACAACGGGCGTTACGCATTTTACGTGACTGAATCGTTGTGTATGTATGTATGAATATTACGTAAATATTTATATAATGCAGCAGGTAGAACATATGCACTTACATATATCATATGTGTACATATATCATATATATATATTTGTATATATATATCCCATATATATATATATGCAACATGCGTGTATGCCAACACATTCATCCGTGCAAATCCACACACGCCAGCGGGCATTACGCGTTTAACCAGCATGTGTGTGTGTGCCGGCGTGTTTAAATTGTTGTTCGCAAAATATTTGCATTGGCGCTGGCGCAAACGCAAATAACCATTTAAGTAATTACTGCACTTAATTTTTAATATTGATTTTTCAAATTTATTAAAACTTAATCAATTGTTTAACCAGATAATGTGTGTATGTGTGTGTGTGGGCCAACGTTTCGTGTGCACATACATATGTAAACAATCCCTCAATGCCAATGGCCATTAAAATTCAGGACCAGGAGGATGTTGAATCCACGACAGGTGTCAAAATCGCCAATGGGGCTTTCAACTCCAAGTGTTGCATACGAAATGGGTGGCATTCTGGTCATTTGCAGTCCAAAAAATTTTAAAGAATTAAGAAATAATTCAAAAATTCACTTTTAAGATATGTTCTCAACTTTATTTAATAAAACACTGAACATAATATTAAACAATTAATAGATTTTTGATATAATTGAATATATTTCAACAAAGCTACATGCTTAGTTATAGATTTACAATTACCATTTGATTATATTTCTTATAGAATGTTGTATTATGATTTTCTATTTGCATGAAGTAATTAATTTCTCGAAAACTTAAACTTTAAATGGGTTAAAATTATCAGTCCTAGCACTCGATTCCCGCGGGCTCTAGAATATTCAGCAATGTGACAACATGAAATAGTTGTTCGCAGTTGATTGGGATACTACTTACTACTGAACCCTTGGGGCAACTTAACCATGTTCGCTATGTGAATGTGGACGGTCGACACAACCCATCATGTTGTACTGTTCCATGAAATGTAAATTAAAATGTCGAATTTATTGCCCAAGTACTGAGGCCATATGACCATGTTGGTTGTAGTTCTTAGTTTGGGCCCGATGAGGGGCAAGTTAGTTAGCAAGTGAGTGAGTGAGTAAAGAACTAACGAGATTCAATCAGTGGCCACTTAAGCAGCGGTCTCTTGTCATTAAAATTAAGTAGATTTACTTACTTGGAATCAAAGTTAAAACTGCTTGACGACTGCCTGTCGTCTGTTGTTGATCGCGTGATTGTTGTTATTTCTTCTGACTATACTCGTACAATTACCGAAATCGAAATCGAAATTTTATGGTGCTCCTAGGCAGTAATTTCCCAAAAAAAACAAAACGATCTATTTACCTATTTAAAATGCCCAACAGAAGAAAACTCAAATGAGGAGACATGAATGAAGAGAGCACAATCGTATCACAAATTCAATTACTCGCTACGAAATCTCTTGTCACAGGAGTATAAAATGTAATGACCGCTTAAATGGAATCTTCTGGGGCTCCTTTATCGGATCAGGTTCATTAAAACTAAAAGTAGACCAAGTTAGGGTGACACATTCTTTACCAAATATATTCTTGGAATACTCAAAGTTATATGATAAGTTTATATGTTTTTGGTTGCCTTCTGGCAAACAGCTAAAACTTTTGTTTGTATATATGATACCACAAATGTTTTGTAGGTTAAACAAATGAAGTAAGTTTGATTTTGTCATTAAATCATTGTTAAAACATTTAAGGTTTTTTAAAAGGTTATTGAAGTATCTAAGTTCTTTGCACTTAAATCCAGCTAAAATTTTGGGTGCTTACATAATAGAGGGGTTCTTGTTTCGATTCGCTTGAAGAACACCACCTTCACTAAACTGTCAAATTGTGAATTACAACCGCATTAGTGAGATACTTATGTTGCCAATTCGTTAAAGGGTGGTAATGATCCCAACAGAAACCCAACGCAACCCAACCCTCTTTTATACACATTTTGATGAGATGAACAAAAGGCTCCGAGTGTCACTCGGATGTCATATGGATCTGTCCCATGTGACGAGCATTGGACAGTTCGATTTTGTTGGACCATTTTATGGTGGAATCGCGATGCGCCAGTGTGGCCAACGTTGATCCTATTTCAAACGTCATGTTGCTCAAAGACGACTGCTCGACTCCAACTACTTGACTGTCACATCTCAATAACCCTCGAGTGGTTTTCAATTGTCTCCAGAAATAAACGCATTTGCATCCCCTACACACACAAAATTTATACGAACTCCCACTCGAGTCTATCCCAATCCCATTTTAAATGTTAATTTTTAACGCATTGTGAATTTTTCTAATATTTCATGAAGGCAATAAATAGACCGAACGAATATTTAATGCGCTATCTTATTAGTATGAATAAAATCGCCACGTAGCTAGAAAAACATTGGTAGTAGTTTGTAAATTTATGAGAAGTAAACTTTATTGTATTTTGTGAATTTTACATTTTTCAAGAAATTTTTGCTTTACCCAAAAGCACTGCACATCAAATAAATATGTGAAAGAGTATTCCAAAGGTTGACAGGCATAAGCAAACCTTTTGGCATATCCGTTCTGGCTCTCCAGAAAGTGCTTGAAAAAATGTTACACACACCCCAACCACAGCACATATCATCCATCCAGGGTAACTCCATCTCCAAAGGCTGCCTCGTGACATCATCCAATTGAAAAACTTAAAAGTAAATAGATCCCAAGAGATGAGACCGCACCATGCCATACCATTCCTTTCCAATTGCCATTGCGTTCCGTTGTCTTTTGGCTGACTGTTTGTCTCAAGTGACATCGTTGCCAAGGATCATCTCATAATGTGGCAAGCGTTTAGCTTCATCCACCCCAGCATCATCACTCCATCAGAGAATGGAGATTCCGGGCATGGGTATAGTTATGGGTATGAGGTTTTGGGTTTTGGGGATTGGCTGCTTCTTAGCTGATGTTTTTTTTTTTTGACTATGGAATCTTAATACTGGAGCTCTGGAGTGTTCGAGTTTTGGAACTCTGAGCACGGAGCATCTCCTCGTCTCATATCCTTTGCTTCAAAACCACTTGACATTTTCACAGTCTCGCATCCATGTCAATTTTGCGGTTTTGGTTTCATACATTCATATGAATGGCAGTGTGTGCTTCGTTCTCCACATGAATGTGGAATTTAGCTTGGATTTTGTGGGCAAACACGGCAAGAAATGATGGTTTAATCTTTTGAAATTACATCTGGTTTAAATAATTGATATATCTTAAGATATATATACGTAAAGAGTCAAAAATTTATTTGTTTATCTCTGTAGTTTAGGTTTCTTATTTAGCCTTTAAGGTAGGCTGAACTCTTATGCATCTGAATATGTTTCTATGCTTTAAGTTATTACCAAAGGTTTTTAAAGTTTTTGTGTTTTTTTTATATGTGGTAATAATCACTACTACTATTTTCTACTATAACTAAAAGATAATTTAATGATTTACGCAAATATGATCCCATTTTTTAAGTCGTTAAGAATCAATTGAATTGTTGATGCAGATCAAGAATAACTATCTTTGCACAAATGGAATGTACCATTTTTACCCCAGACATAATTAGTCTCTTTAAAGTAAGCCGTGTCCGATGGGATTGGAAAAAAGAAGAGAATATATATACATATATAGTAGAAGAGAAGAGCGCGGTGTTAATATCGTTGCGTGTTTTATAGAATCGTAAATATGTGCGAGAGGCGAATGAGAAATGTGAGGTTTGTACTGCCGTCTACTTAGGGTCTTTCTATTTGGCCACTTATATTATAAGTTCATGTATCTGTACCTGTATCTCAAAGTGAATGTGTATCTGTATATCTATATGGCTGTAGCTGTATGTGTGTGCGTGTGGATGAGTGTGTAATCCGTCCATAAGTGGCCTCAAATGCCTATCCATAATGATGATGATGATGTGGTTGCCGCTGCGACCAATAGTTGGACATTCATCACGACGATCCGCTGGAGGAATACCATATATATATATGTATTTCAGTATAGGAAAAGTATAGTCATAGCTATAATATCGTTTCGTATAGTATAGTAAAGTTTTGCGGTGCCGAAAACAATTTATGCCGCATGTCACGCCTCTTTTTAAAGATTTCAAGATTCCGTCGGCATCTCGATTTTGCTAGTGGGCGCCAGCGGGAGGGAAAGACACTTTCGAGGGCGTTTCCCATTATAGATCTCATCAGACCAATATTAGGTACACATTTGAATCTGGGGATCCGTTGAGACAAACAAATACATAGCGTTTTTCGTAGAGGAGAAAGGCATGCGAGTTACCACTTCAACGTTCTCAGTACTCTTGATGGACTATGCAAATAAGTAATTATTTTATAATATAATATTTATTAATAATTATCAGGTTATATAAGCAAATCAGCTGTATATATAGGTTCCCTATAAGCATTTCATTAACCATTATAAAAAATATTCAAAATAAATAGTTTATTAATGCCAGTTTCCAATACATTTTATGGCAATGTTTTACCAGAAGTTTATTGCCAAACTGGATTTACTATGAGCATAATTTCAGAACCTATGACTCATATTACCGCAAAAAATACTTGCCTAATTCCTTTAGCACTAAATCCGCTAAAAACACCAACAAAATTACGTATCCGCCCAGAGTACCAATAAAAAATCAATGTTGATTACATGTTTCATTAATTTTGCCATTGTTTATTTGTTAATAAAAACTTAAAATCTTTTTGTAATACAGTACACAATCGTCGGGAGGAATTTTCGTTTGCGAGAGAGCAATAACATTTTTTTCTTTTTCTGTTCACCTACGATCTATCAACCTTCGATGGATTGTTTTTATTATTTTTCCTTTTTTTTTGCGAGGGAATTGGGGGAAATAATCTCTTTTTTAACACACGGGGGATATGTTTCATTAGAATTTGCTTGCTGGTGTTAGTACATCCAAGTTATTTAATATTATTTTGTTTTTATTATAATTATTATTATTATTGGCTACGAAAAAAATTGTCTTAAAACTATTTAATATATGCATTCATAATATATTTCGTTATAAATATCAATACTTCGTTGTACACCGATCCGGGGGGGCAAGGAAAACCGAACCCGTTCCAAAGATCCTCGCTTCTGCACTGCCCAGCCCGCTTTTCAGATGACAGACTTTGTTTTTTGTTGTTTTTTTTTTGGATCCCATCCTGGGATCCCAAGCACACGCACATTCACACTCGTTCTTGATCACACATACATTCACACTGAGGAACGGATTGAATACTATACACTTAGATGTCGCCACTACAGTTTACATTATCCATTAAATATAGGTTTTTAAAAAAAATTCCATATAACACATATACGAGCAGAAAAAGCTTTGTTTCGGAGCAATTCCAGTTTTCTTTTTTTGAAAGAGGTGTTTAGTGGGTGGTTTTTTGGGGTAAAGGTGGGTGTTGCAGAATCGCGCCTGAGGAGGAGTGCCAGCCATTTAATGGTCCAGCTTTGGCACGGCCCCAACATACCACCCAAAACCACCTAGACACAATCCCACACCCCAAACGTATTCTTCTTATAAATACGATTACAAAGAACAAAAAAAAAAAAAGAAAAACAAATTTGACTAAGGAAATCATCTAGAAATCGCTGAAGATCATCCTGATCTAGACGGAAATCGGTGCATTCGTGGCCGCTGGTGATTGCTGTTGCGGCGGCTGTTGGTGGTGTTGATGATGGTGTCCCAGATGGTGATTCAGATGATGACCCAAATGGTTCAGATGATGCTGCTCCTGATGATGTGGATGATGATGGTGGCTCAGGGTTAGGTGGTGATGCTGCTCTTGCTGATGCTGCTGCAGCTGTTGGTGGTGCTGATTAAATTGCTGCTGATGCTGCGTTTTAAGCAGCATCGAGCGATACATCTCGGACAGGAGACTCCACATGGGCGGTGAATCCTTGGCCAGGTCGACGGGTGAACCCGCCGGCAGGAAGGCGGTCGGTGGTGGTTGACTTGTGGCAGCAGCAGCTGCTGCGGCGGCCAACATCTGTGTCTGCAGCAGGCGCAAATGATGCCGCTCCTCGAAGTCCAAAACGGGCATTGGTAGCATTTGCCGCCGGCTGGTCAAGAACGCACTGTCACTTTCCAGGTCCAGTTCCATTTTGATGCTCGTTTGGGGAAGATTAGAGCTGGCAATGGAATTGGCGGAGGAGGAGGCCGCCACCGTGGAGCAAGCGGAACTGGAGGTGGTGCTGTCATGACGCTTCCGCTTACCCAGCAACTGATCCATGGAAAAGGCATCACTGGGCGAACGCTTCTCACGCTCCAGCTCTGGTTCGTGTTCCTTGTCAGATTCCACATCATGTTCCTGCTCTTTGTCGGCCTCCTGCTCCTGTTCAGGTTCCTGTTCTGACTTGCGACGCTTATGAAGGCTAAAGTCCAGCGGCTGATCAGCTCGCTCCTCGTCGGCGGCGGTGGTGCTACTACTGCTGGCCAGGCTCAAACTACAATGCATTTCTTCGTCCTGTTCTTGATCTTGTTCAAGATCCTGATCTTCTTGATCCTCGCTAGATGCCGCCGGACTTGAGCTATTGGCCTGCATGTCAACATACACAAAATCTCCATCATCCTCGGGATCAGCATCTTGCTCATTATCCACCGAACCGGAATCGTTATCCTGACAGCCGGAGGAGAGCAGACCAAGACCATGTAGACCCGTCTGTCCGCCAAACATTACATACGGATGATGGCCATGATGAGGTGGTGGCGGTGGCAGGAGTCCGGGAAACGCAACCGGAAGTCGTCCGGCGACAGCGGCCGCTGCCGCTGCTGTGCCCGGCGAGAAAACCGGAAACTGCTGAGCTGTTCGACCATCATGCGGCGAGATCTTGCGTCGAATATGCGGTGAATGGAGTTTGGGATTCGGATTGGCGCTGTGACGATTTCTTGAACGTCTCGAACTGAACACCATATTGCAGCCCTCTACCGTGCACTTGTGCATCTCCCGAAGATGGACCGCCGAAAAGTGAATCTTTAGGGCACCTTTGTCACAAAACGTTTTAAAACAGATGGAACACTGAACCCTCTTTTTTCCCGTTGCCGGATTGATGAACTGTCCGGCAAGATTGATGGGCGGTGAGCCCCAGCGACGAGGCTTCATTGATGTTCCACTACCATTGCCTGATCCTGAACCAGTTGCCGATCCCGTTCCCGAGCCACTCGATCCACCCGGTGAGCTTGCCGGCGAGGCGGCATTCGTTTGGGATGACGGATGTGACGGTACATGGGAGTGTACATGCTGGTGGGGATGTGGGCCATGGCCCAGCAGATAAGCCGGTGACATGAACGGATTTATTATGTGCTCCATGTCGTCGTATGTGGTGGTAGTGTTGATGACTGTTGGTGCCTGCAAAACAAATGGAAACAGAAACGAATCGTTAGAAGTGTCAATCAGGGTGTGTCAATCAGGAAGTCACTGAATCGGTCAATCCTAATCGAAAACTATTGCTAAATAAATGCCAGGGTGGCTGGACTGTGTGTTGACTGGTGACGGCTACTTGCTGGGCAAATCCGATTGCGCAACTATTGGGAATCGGAATCAACCTTATCGCAGAGAGTCAGCAGTGTGCAAACTTTGGACATGGACATTGACTCCTTGGACCTGAGACATGGAGACATGGGGAACACATTAAATGCGCAATTAGAGTGCGAAAAGTCAAGACAAAATGTCGAATCATTGGAAAGGGAGAAAGTTTATTTGTGCTCAATTAATCAGTGGATTACAACGATTAGTTGGTCCATTGCTTTAAGAACAATTTCCAAATCAAGATTTAATAGGAAAAACATTTAGTGAGACGCGTATTACTCTTTAAAGAGAAATCAACTTAAAAACAACACAAGGAAATCGATTACTAAAAGAATGTATGACAGCTAACACTGATCTATATATTATTGAAATGGTCTCTAAACCTAAATCTCAAGTGTATTACCAAACTCTCAAGTGAAAGCTTCCAAGGAGCTTAACCAACTTTGTGCAAATCCAGCCAGATTTATTGTTAAAGCACACACAACAATAACTCGGACATATATCGGTGACACTGATGTCGGCATATCTTTCAAGTCCGCCAATTCAAAATACAGTAAATATCTGTAATTCATTCTATATCACCTATGAAAATTTGTAGATTGTAAAGTCATATCAAAGGTGATAATGAAATGAAAGTTCTCGAAAATATACATTTTGTATTTCCATTTGCTCCATATTTTGATGTCTTTAGCCTTTTGCCTTTAGCGAATTCCGACTGTACACTAACACAATCGTAGTACTCGTGTAAGTGCACATTGCCTCATTTAGTTGAGCGAAATCTTTTACAGCTTTTTCGGTTCTTCTGGCCATTAAAATCGCCTCTGACAACGTCGACGGCGACGACAACATGCGGCGATCAGTGTCGGACTTCGACTTTGGATCCGATCAGTCGGAGTTAAAGCCAAAGCTAAAGCAAAACAGCTCTAGCTAGCTAGTTTTTCTTTTCTTTTCTTTTTTTTATTATTGTGGGCTCCGTTCGCTACCGTAATTGTGAGGTAAAAATACAAAAAAATAAGAGACAGAAACAAAAAACCCAGGGGCGTCACAAACTGGGGACAATTGCGGTGAGATGCGGATGATGATGGTGATGATCGTGTGTGCGATGTCGTGGCTGGCTATCTGGATTCGATCTCAAAAGTCGAACTACACACTACACATTCGCATTCGCTTGCCCAATGCCAAGCTAAAAAAAAAGATTTAAACCAAAAACCACATAAGACGACTATGGCTCACAGACACAAATGCAGAAAGCCAGGAGATGGTCGCTTTTTATGGGTCTCATTAGTAACGATGACAACAATAGCATTAAAATGAGTGTATGTACACATGGCGAAAAATTTTAAACAAAATAAGGAAAGAAAAAAGCTATATTATCAAGTTCTTAAAGTTGATGGTATTCTACTTAGAAATCAAGTATAAAGGTAAAGAATTGTTTTCTAGTTTTGAAGTTGAAGTTCTTAAAAGAAATTATTCTAAATCGTTTATACTACGATATCAATTTAGAGTAGACCACATTGCATTACAAAATTATTCAATATAATTTTCTCGCTGTGCATCTCGGTCGACAGATCGAGGTGAGTATGCATGTACATGGGTAATTATTTTTGTCAAACGCTTAAAATGTCTTAAGCCACCGAGAGGGTGAAAGGGGAGATGATCGGTGGTCAGGGGGGACAAAAAACCAATCACAACTTTTGATGGCTCTCGGACGAAACGTTTTTTTGATTATCGGCAGCGGCAGTGGCAGCGGCAGGCAGTGGCAGTAAGCAAAATGTTGAAAGTCCCCACAAGACAAGACAAGACAAGACTAAACAAGATTGAAGAATTCAGAGAGCCAAGAGTTTGGAGTTTGAAGCTGGGTGATGGAAGATGCCGAAGATGTAAGCAATCCGGCGGCTATAATTGCTGTTGTAGTTGCTGTTAATAGTAGTACATTATAATAAGCAGTGGTTGATAGATCAAGAGGGTTTTCTAAAAGGGGAGAGCTTTAAGGGGAGTCGTCCGATGGTCCGAAGATGACAACCCCGATGGCTGGACTTCAGCGAAACAAAAAAACAGCTCGAAAGCCGCAGACAAAAATCTTAATTACAACTTTGACATTTGGCGTTTCCCCGAAGACCTGACATTTTTTTTGTTGTTTAATATATATGAATATCTGTATATATTTATTTTGTGCGCAGAAAATGGGAAAATTTTTGATTTCCTAACATTCGATTAATACATTAGACTAACTTTGTGTAATATTCAAAGAACACTTCGTTTTAAAACCAAGTAATCACTTAATTAACCTAATTTTAGAAATTCAATTGATAAATATATATCATTGGACTATTATATCAAGAACAAAGATCATCATTTAAATAATATCAAATGATTTATCAAATGATAAAGACAATATTTTTCCCTGCTCTATATATAAATTTTTATAAAAATTATTAATTTCTAAGATCCTTTTTGAATTTTCAAAGTGCTATATCCACTAGATATTGAATAATATACTTAGTTTCACTGGAATTTTGGATTTTGAAGTGCCGACGGCAAATCAAGATTTGATCAACTATACATACCTTTTGCTAAATTAGCAGCAAGTTGTAGATATTTTGTTTTTTGTATTTTGGTTTATTGCTGATATTGTTTTTATTGTTTTGTTATTGCTTTTCACTTTGTCACAGGTTTGCCATTTAAAAAAAGGTTTCTTTCGTTTGTTTGTTGCTTAAAAGTTATTAAATTCAGTTGGTTGAATTCACTGTTTGAGTTGTGTATTTGTTTTCATGCCGTTTATTTTTGTTGCATTTTTGCGCGATATTAAAAAAGTTGGTCGTTCACTTTGGCGTAATGCACACGCACACACGTGTACATGTGCATATATGTATAGATAGGCAGACACTAACACACACGCACACACGGTAGAGAGAAGTGGTGGCGCGGATATGCGAATATTCGAATGCGAATGCGGAGCAACAAAGATGCGGATGTGCGGAGAGCAGGGACAGCAGAGATCCACTTCTTCGAATGTCGTGGGTGACACTGATTGTCGATTTGTCGTTTCACCAACGAAATTGTGCGCCGGCTGCGACGCTGGCAGCGCAGCGAGCAGAGAGCGAGCGACAAATGCGGAGACACACGGACGCACACAAGCACAGACACGCACGCGGGGTGGGTGACACTTGGCTCTCTCTCTCTCGCTTGCTCCCGCTCTCAGTCTCGCTCGCTTTCTGTCACTCACTCGCACGCTCTTACACCTGAAAGAGTGTGAGAGAGAGCGCTATTGGAATTGGCCTTCGTCACATTGTCGTCGATGGGTCATTTTGGGGCTCTATGCGCGAGCAAGTGAGAGGTCCGCCCGCACTGCATGCTATCTCTATCGGATAGTCGGCAAAGCAGTTCACGGGCCAGAGAGTCAAAGCCACCGCTCTCTTACTCTTGCCATCGAAGAGCAAGGGGTACTGCGTGCGAGCAGTGTAGCAGAGTCGTGCGGCTGTTGCTTGCCCGTTTGCACACTGTCGTCTGAGTGGACGAAACCGTTTCGTTTGGTTGACACATGCGACATGTTGTATGTGTGTGTGTATGGTCAGTGCGGCACAAACTGACACACGCACTGCCGCCAGCCAAAGAGAACGCAGCGCTCGCTCTCACTGCTTGCTGGTATGGGTGTAAGTGATAAGTTGGTGTGAGTATATGGGCTCGGCATTAGTGCGACAGAGTGAGAAAGAGAACAAGAGAAACGAGAGTGAAATGGCAATGGCCACAGTACATCACAAAAACACAAACACATGCATACAGTACGTAATTTGTCGCTGCTGCGACGTCACTTTTTGTCTTGGTGCTCGCCTCTCTTCACCACTCTTCGCTACTTTGGTTCTTCGGTTCCGAAGGTTCTTTTTAAATTTTTGTCATTTGATGTCTTGTCCACTCTATGTGGATACCCTCTGTCCGTCCTTGTCGCACGCACACGAATGGACAGAGCGAGCGGCTCTCTTTGTTTTGCGATTGCGCTGTTTATCTGTGTGTGTGTGTGTGTATCAGTATCTGTGTGGGTGTGTATGGGTGACACTTTGGCAATGGGGGCGATTCGATTCGATTTTTTTCTTTCCCTGTCGCCATACAGCACCAATGGAATTCGAGCACTGGTGACAAAGAAGCGTCGCTGCTGCTTCCTCTTTGCCCACTCCCAGCCCCTCTGCCCATCCCATCTATATATATATATATATCAGATATATATATATAAGTAAATGTGTGTGTCCTATGTGTTACCTATGTATATATAAACATCTCCTTGTCGTTTCATTGTCCTTTTCATTGCCGAATTAAAATTATTCTCACCCACACTCGCACTTACACACATTATGTATTTGCTAGACGTTGGAATGTCCCACATAAAGATACAAATACACACAGACACTTATGCATATAGTTGGCCACATTTTTGCGTTAATGTACATGTGTATATATTCACACACACACAAATGTCCAAAGAAAAGTTCTTAAAGCGAAACAAAAGCTTTCTATTTGCCTTAATCGCAAAACAAAAACAACAAACAATATAGATAATGTTGCATACCTAAAAGGCGTTGGCCTTTATATTTACTCTATTTTGAAATGGTCAAATATTGCACAACACTAAATTTGTTGTCATAGAAATAAACTCAAATTCTTATAATTTAATACAATTTTGAAGTATAACTTAGGTATAATCATTAGATATGAAACCTTTTAAGATTGAAAATATAAGAATAGTTTTGAAAATCCAATAAAATCTTAAATATATCTCATCTTATTTTGATTAACGTAAGATCTTCTAAATTTGTATGGCAATGTCAAGTCAATCAGGTCATTTTCGTTTTTTTTTGTTACCTCTTAAGCTTAATTATTAATTTAAGTGATTCTAGACTTAAAGCTGCCTTAAAGACATTTGAACATTCGTAACATTAGATTCAATAAAAATCATAATTTTAAATAGATTCACATCTGAGTCTTCATTTCTAGACTTCTAGATACTCGACTTTTCCTAACTTAATTTTGTCTATGAAACGAACTTAAAGTTAATATCGCTGCAGTAACTGCAGTAATCATGTATTCATGTATTCAGATTTTAAAAGAAACTATGTCAATTTATGAATTTAACTAACAAACATATCTGCCTTTCCAAGTGGACTAATTTCAAGAAGATAAATATATAGGGGAATTGTTTCCTACATAAAATATGTGCATAATTAACTTTTTCTAACGCAAACAAAAAAATGTACAAAGACTAATAAGTTATATTACTTAGCCAATAGTAAAAACAGATATAAATATAATACATCTATGCTAAAATGTATAATTTAAATAAGAAATCAAAATATATAACAAGATGTCAACGAAATATATTCCATTAATTTACAAATGCAATACCTGTAACTTATAAGGAACTATAAATTTGATTCAAAAAATGTGTCATCAAATTGATTGTTTTGAGAATAATATCTGATAATTTATAATCAATTCCCCAGTGCTGCATGTCACTTTTCAAATCGGCGCCGCCAACAACCTTTTGTAAATTGATTGATGTGAGTTTTCAAGGTGAAAAGTCAATGCTTAATCCTCAATCCTCAAATTTCTTTGATATTTTTTGGGACGAATGTAAGTGTCTTTTCAGAGGTCATCTCGATGTCGCCCCCTGTTGTTGGCCAAAGCTAGTCAACACTTTCATTTTTCCTTTCTCTTCTATTGTGAAGCGAAATGCTTTCATTAATCAAAAAACACAAAATCAAAATGCTCATTTCCCTCTGTATTTTTTTTATTTCGCCCCCTGCCAGATTTGATAAATAATTGCTATCTTATTATGTCGATTGTCGTTTCTGTCGCCGCTGGAATCTCTGAGATGCAGAGTTACAGGGAATCGGGAATCAAGTATCCAGTGAGATCCACAGATCCAGTCTGTCACTGGGCTAAGGCCAAGATAAAGAAACCATTGAATCTGAATCGAAAATCGGGCACAAAGTTCTTTATTAGCACGGCACGGCACCCTTTGTTCACGCGATTCGAAATCGAAACGTAATCGAGGTCCGAGTGCCGAGACGAAATCGATCAATCATTTTTCACACTTTGTCGTCCAGGTTCTCAGTTCCTCAGTGCTCATTTTGTAGTTCCCAATCCTCATTCCCATTCTCAGCCAGAAACCATCAAGTGGAGGCCCTGTGGATTACCCAAAAGATCCAACGACTATATGCTCTCTGTACTTGACTTCAGGTCAATAAATCGTTTTTCAGTTCGTTTCTTTTCGGTGTTTTTTTTTACTTCTTGTTTCGAGTCTCTTTCCACTGATTTCTTTAAATACGATTTACGCTGACACAAATGATATTAAAAATCCATTAATAATTTTTGACCCTGCATCGATTTCGATTCCAATTTCCAAACGATGTACAAAAAAAGAACGCCCTGAATACAAAAAAAAAAAAATTAAGTTAAAAATATTATCAACCTGAGTCTCCCAAATTGAAGTCAAAAAAAAAAAAAAATGACTAAAAGGCAAAGGCCATGGGAAGTTCTCCTTTAGTTCAAACAAAGGCGTCACAACATCTCACATTTAATTACATTTATTTTTTTCCAGATTAGCTTGGTTCCACGCCCCCAAGCTCCTCTAAGAAAGGACAGCCCATTAGTTTCAGACGATTTATCCAAACGAAACTCCAACAACTGTTCATCAGTTTTTAGTTTGTAACAGGGCTTCTTCAAATGGTTGTTTCTATAATGAAGGATTCTCGAAACGAATCAACCTTATACAGTTTAATATAATTAGATTTGGTTTTTGAAAAAAAAAACACTGGGATGCTGTAAATAATGTTTGTTAATATGTAACTGAAACAGGAATTGAGGGTTTGCTTTTAATGTCTATGGGAAATGTAATCAATGTAAAGGAAAACACTTTGTTTTGTGGGAATCTTCTTTTTTACAATCAGACATTCTTATTTAAGTTGGTTTCTTCTTAGTTTAAGTTGGTTAATTGCCAAAAAACACACTCATTGTGTGACCCAAAATTGTCAATTATATATATATTTCCTGACATTCTGAATTAGTCCTTGCAGGGTCAGCCCGTATATGCCTGTATGTATAGACAGTCAGATTCATTAATGCAGTTTGAAGTGAGGTGAGGTGGTGCAATTATCGCACAAACCTTCGACAATTCCTCAATGAAATGCGTGAAATCCGCGCGGAAAGGTTTTCTGGTTCAGTTCCCCGCGCATGAGACACAATAATAAAAGTAATAATAATAATAATAATGGTAAATCGGTGGCGGTGGCTCTCCTCGGGCCCATGGATATTGCACAATTGCAAATCCAGGTAGTCTGTTAGACTGGGAACAGGAAAACTGGGAAGTTGGGAACTGTGAGCTGTGAACTGTGATACGGGGAATTCATAAAGGACACACACGGGTCGGGTTTAGTAGTTTCCATTGTGAATATGTATACACGTGCATATATAGATGTACACCCTTTTTGTGCGGCGGTTGCCATGAATATGGTACATTATGTGCCCAATAATTAAGTGAAAGGGTTACAATGCCTTCATGAGAACTCCGCTAACCGGGTGATAAAATTGAGTTCTCTTCGTTTTGCTCAAAAAAAGGGTTTCGTTTCGCATGTCCGCAACATGTCGGCACAATTTTTCATAATGGCCGATCATAAAAATCCTTTTGCCAAACATTTCAGGTATAAACAATGCCCAAGACAATGCAGGGCAATCAGTATGATTCAACGTGGTTCAATCGCAATGCCGACAATAAATAAATAAATAAACAGGTCACCCAAGAGTCCATAATAAGAAGACAATACTATAAATACTATTAAATTATAAGTTCTTAAACCCAAATTGTCTGCTTGATGAGAATGTTTTAGGATTCAGTTTAACAAAAACTCTTTCTCATTTATTTAAACATCAATTTTTTGTCGCAAATAGCAAAAAGCTTTGAATGCAGATCGATGTTTGGACAAATATTGGATTATTTGTGAAATAAATACTAACAATTTGTAGGGAGAAAAGGTA